GTTTGACTTCTGCCTGGCTCCCTGTGTTGGACCCCTGAGCTACCACATGAGCAGTGGAACACCCCGATGCTACCATGCTGGGGAGACATGTGTAAAGACCACCCAGAGGTAGGGACTCACCCACAATAAGCCAGCTTCTGCTTCCTGTGGCTTCTGGCAGCAGTCTTATCCTGTCAAGCAGCCAGGATCATGGCACTCAGTGTGGGTATGAAACCATAAAATGGAGCTTCTCCTTTATCAGTCACAATATCTCTCTATGGCTCAGTATCATAATCTCTTCACAAATAAGGCTCAAAGAATGTTCTGCCAGTCGGTTGCTACATAACAAGCCCCTCCCACCCTGAACAGCTTCATTTTATCAGCTTTCATGGTTCCTGGCAATTCTCCTTGGGGGTCCCTCTTGCACTTGCAACCGGAGGGCAGTGGGAGTGCCTGGAGCATCACTGCCTCCAGGCGGCTTCTCTCTTCTCCATTTGTCTCTCCAGCATGACAGCATCAGGGTGTCCAGGCTCTTCATGGGGTCCAAGGGCAAGTGGTCCAAGACAGAGAGCCAAGAAGAAGCTCCAAACAACCAAACAACCTTTCTGGCTTAGCCTTGGAAGGCACATAGCATCACTTCTATCATACCACAGTTTTTAAGTCAAGGAAGTCATACAGGCCCACCCAAGGTCACATGAAGAGAACAGAGACTCTATCTCTTGATGGGGTCAAAGAGCAAGTGGGACCAGAAGCATTACTGCACCATGTTTTGGACAATACAATGGGCTATAGAGATTATAGGTACATCTAATTGTCCAAAGTTCTCTGCCCAGTAAGTGGCAGGCTGGGGCCCTGGGTCTAATTCTACTGCAGGTGCCCCCACCCCACAATAGGCTCATTCTTTTTCATGACAGCACTTCCAATATTTGAGGAACATTTCCATGCACCTCTTCCCTTTATCTTTGCAGACAAAATTATCCCAGATCTTTCATATTGCCTTTTGGAGATTATTTCCAACCTTGAACATCCTGAGCAGTTCATAAGTTTTCAGTTTGCCACTTAAAATGTGGTATCCAGAGTAGATATCAGATTCTGTGGAATAAGCAATATAAAAGATAAATGAGAACAGAATTCCCCATGGTCTACTACTGCAGCAAGATTTTCATGGCTTTTTTGTTTTCTCACATCAACTACATGTTAGTGTTGGTTCTTGTTAAGACTGATAATTAAATCCCAGAATTTTTTCACATAACCTATAAGCAAATAAAGTCTTTTACTTATCCTATAATTCTGCTCTTTAATTAAATCTAATTCAAAATTTATGTTTGGTATAGTTCAAGTGTTATATGATCATTTGTCCCTGGGTTATGAAGATGCTACTTGCTCCCCATCTGTCCCCTGACAATAAACCCAAACACAATTCCCTAAGAACCTTTATTTCCATAGCTCAGGCAGGTCCTAAGCCTGTAAAGAAAAAAAATAATGACATAATTCTGGCCTGAGAAATTTCCCAGAGAATAGACCAGACTTACAAGCAAAACCAGCTTAATTCTATTTATAATCTCTCTTATTTTTGTAAAGGAAAATTACCAGGCCACTCAAGATTTGTTTAAAATATTACAGGAAGAAATTAAATACCATTTGTAGAATGGTGAAGATTTGGTTTTCATATACACAAAGGACTGCCATGAAAATAACAATGTAGATGTGTTCTCTTTCATTCAAGAGAGGATCAATAGTTAGGAATCAGAGAAAACATATTTATTCTTGTTGTAAGTAAGAGCTTTGTCAGGGCTTCATGATGAAGATAAGTTGTGGATTAGTTACTACATCTGTAATTTAGCAAATATTACATTTCCATTTGTTGATAACACTTCAGTTTTTAGTTTTTTTTCCTTTGGCATAGTATAAATGGTTAAAAGCCTTCCCAAATTAAGGAAGAAAATTGGCTTCAGAACATGTACTTTCTTTTTGTTTGTTTGTTTGTTTTTTAATTTTATTAAATCAAAACTGTATACATTTATAGGATACAATGTGATGATTTGATATATAATGTGGAATACTGATTAATATAACCATCACCTCACTTATTTTTTGTGGTAAGACAGTTATAATTTACTCTTAGTTGTTTTGAAATGTACCCTTGCATTGTCACATTAAGCGAGAGCCCATCAAATGCCTTTCCTCTTCCCTCCGCCAGCCCTTCCCCCTCCTCTACCCTCCTTCTTGCTGGACTATATTTGTGTTTTATCATTCATATGAATGTGTAAGTGATTATATATTGGTTTCATAATAGTTTTGAGTACATTGGATACTTCTTTTTCCATTCTTGAGATACTTTACTAAGAAGAATATGTTCCAACTCCATCCAGATAAATAAAAAAGATGTAAAGTCTTCATCTTTTACTGGCTGAATAGTATTCCATGGTGTACATATACCACAATTTGTTAATCCATTCATGGGTTGATGGGCATTTGGACTGCTTCCACAACTTGGCAATTATAAATTGGGTTGCAACAAACATTCTGGTGCAAATGTCTTTGTTCTAAATGATTTTTGTTCAGCTGGGTAGATACCAAGTAATGGAATTGCAGGATCAAACGGTAGGTCAACTTTTATTTCCTTGAGAATTCTCCATACTTCTTTCCAAAAAGGCTGTATTAGTTTGCAGGAACCTGTACTTTCAAAGGGTAAATGCACCAGGCAATTTCTGCCCCTTCCATGTTCCAAAGCTGTCACCACACTCCAGGGATGGTAGAACAAATCTCTCCTTCAAAATGTAAGGCAGTTAGCCATCTCTTAAATGTAATTTGCCTCCTCCATTAGAGGATTCTTACTGGAGAGTGTTTTTTGATCCATTTATAAATAAATTACCACATAAAATAACACTGAGAAGCAGAAGGACATTTGTTTCCAATAATCTCAGAAGTAAAGTACTATAAATAATAATGTACATAAAACAAGGAAAGAGTAAAATATAAAGTGCAAGATTTTTACAAAATACAATATTCCATCTGCCATAGAACACATGTGCATTATGAGAAAAAATAAGAAAATATTATTATCTATTTGACCCTCAATTGGACAGTGGAAGAAAATGAAGCAAATAGTCTAATGTGCCTTCCGTAAAACGGGCATTGTAATAGAGGCACATCAATGAAAGCATTGCCTATGGATTGTCATTATTCTAGGAAAATAAGTTGGACAAAGGTTTGGGGGAAGGAGTCAATAAGTTTCTTTTGTAAAGGGCCACATAAAAAACATCTAGACTCTGCAAACTGTACTCAGCTCTGCCCTTGTAAGGTATAAGCAGCTGCAGACAATAAGTGAATGAATGAACTTGGCCGTGTTTCAATAAAATTTTATTTATTGAGACAATATTTGAATTTCATATGAGTCTTACATATCATGAAATATTCCTCTTCTTTTGATTTTTTAACCATTTTTAAAAAATCTATAGACCATTCTTAGCCAATGGGGACTTAAATACACACGTACATGCACAGATACACACCCAGGGTTAAGGAGCAGGAGTGGGCCCACTGTTTTAGACAAAGCAGTATTAGCCAGGCATTTGGGGTGTGGGAATAGTAGAACTGTTTGAGGAAGAGGACAGAGTGTGAAGGTGGAAGAGACAAATTTTCAGGTTTTATTTTTATTTCTGAAGATCTTAAGTAATGACTAGGAGCCTGGTCTTTGTCCTGGAGGAGCAGTTTTTAAATAAATTCTGTAGACTCTGTGTTCTATTTTTACACCACATATTGCCTGTCTTCTGCTACCAAAGAAGATGGTGTGTAATAACTAATTCATGTTTTCTATTTCATAGCTTTCAAGGTCTCCAGAAGTTGGTTGAATACAGATAATTTATGAAGCACCCTCCATGTGCTATGCACTGTTCTCCTAGAAAACTGTACAGTATCCAGGCCCTCATGATGTAGCTTACCTGTGGGAAAGGGTTGGCAATGGCTTTCTTTTGTGGATTACAGTGACCATCTTATACTTTCATAACTTAAAAAGCAATAAAACCATTACTATTTTAAGATAGCTTACCTTTATTTTCTCTAATTATCAACATCATGAATAAACTAGGTAGATAGATCAATAGACTTTCTGTTAAGAAAAAAGAAGAAATTAAACCTGCTTTTACATTTCTCCCATAATATCTAGTTTCTGCTAAACCAATCGTAGACTTAGACAGTGGTGAAGATAATTTTTTAAAGAAGAAATTATGTTTACATTTTTATGCTCATTCTAAGAAGAATTTATTGACACCATTGTTCCCATTTCCATTTTCTTGGCAATAACATATAGACTTGACTCTCCTCCATACCACTCACTTTCTACTGATAGCCCTTCCCCTTTGTGATTTTAAATTTTATTCATACTTCCATATATCTTCAAGGAATGTTTTAGAAAGGGTTTGCAGATGACTTACTCTCTGAGATGTAGCAGGATATTTTTCCCTCTAACTATTGTCTTATGGGATGTCATCTTATAGAATAGATATCTATGGCCAGCCTATAAGTATTTATTCCTATGTGAGTAATGGGAGTAATCTCTTATTGCTGCCTTAGAAGATCATAAACTTCATTTATTCCTAAAATATAGATTTCTATTCTAAATGTGTGTATATAACATATATACATATATGTGTGTGTGTGTGTGTGTGTGTGTATATATATATATAACTTTTACGTGTCTCTTACAAAATATTTAGTGTTGTCTCTCTTCTTTGGTTTTCTTTCTTGATCTTTGGGTCTGGGGGCTCAGCTCCACTGGTTTCTTCTATTATCTCAGTCACTGTGGCATCAGTTCTATTCCCTCTTATCTCCCTTTCTATAATTTCTATTATGCAGCCCCTAGGACCCTATTTGTTGTTTCTCCTTGATTTGTCCTCCTTACCTTCTATTTGTTCTTTCATCATTTAAAATCACTACCTTTTTTTTTCTCTGAGTTCAGGGTATACTCCTTGAGTTTGTCCTTTGTTAAATCTGTTCAATCTTCTACAGTACTCTATTTTTTTTTGAGACAGAATCTCACTGTATCATCCTAGGTAGAGTGTGTGGCGTCACAGCTCACAGCAACCTCCAACTCTTGGGCTGAAACAATTCTCTTGCCTCAGCCTCTGAAGTATCTGGGAGTACAAGAGCCCAGCTATTTTTTGGTTGAAGTTGTTTAGTTGGCCGGGGCCGGATTCCAACCCGCCACCCTCGGTGTATGTGGCTAGCTCTGCAAGCACTGTGCTACAGGTGCCGAGCTGATACTCTATTTTTGAGACTCATCTTCCACTGAGGTTTTCAGTTTGGTTGCCATCTTTATTCAATTTTTTCTAAACTCAATTTATTCTCTGAGTATTTGAGCACTCACTCTTATATCATGACTATAGTGCTTTTTAAAATTCTTGTTAGCATAAATCAAAAATGTTTTAAAATTTAGGCCAGGCATGGTGGCTCACACCTGTAATTCCAGCACTTTGAAAGACCAGGGCGGGAGGATCACTTGAGACCAGAAGTTTAAGACCAGGCCAGGCAATGGAGCAGACCTTGTCTCTAAAAAATGTTTTGTTTTGTTTTTTTTGAGACAAAGTCTCACTTTATCACTCTTGGTAGAGTGCTGTGACATCACAGCTCACAGCAACCTCCAACTCCCTCGGCTTAGGCAATTTTCTTGCCTCAGCCTCCCGAAAAAATGTATTTTTTTTTTCTGAGACAGAGTCTCACTATGTCGCCCTCAGTAGGGTGCTGTGGCATTACAGCTCACAGCAACCTCCAACTCTTGGGCTTAAGGGCTTTTCTTGCCTCAGCCTCCAAGTAGCTGGGACTACAGGCGCCCACCATAATGCCCAGCTATTTTGTTGCTGTTGTTTAGCTGGCCTGGGCTGGGTTTGAACCAGCCACCTTTGGTGTATGTGGCTGGCACTGTAACCACTGTGCTACCGGCGCTGAGCCTTATTTTTTTTTTAATTTCCAAAATTTTGTTGGTACCTTGCAGTAAATCCATTTCAAATTGTTCCATTGGTCTCTCTTTCTGAAGTGTGGGGTGTCTTTTCTGATGTCTTTTTCATCCTTGTAAATGAAAAAACCTGGGCTTGCCAATATGATGATTAATAAAGATTGTGGTTGAGTTGAGCCAGAGTCCTTGACAAAATCCTTCACACTTTGACAAAGGGAAAAGAGAGTTTACTTTATTCTAAATTTGTACAGCTGGGGCCAAGAGCCAACAGCCTGCAGGGAATGAGAAAGAGATAGGAAAAGGGAAGAGCCCAGCAGTGCTGTTCACACAGCCCTCGCCTCCGATGTGAAGCACGCTCTTCCCTGCAGTGTCCTGCTAAGGGATGAGGCTCCACAGCACCAGGTTTTGGCTCTCAGGCAGGAGCTCTGAACAGAAGGCATGTCTGTGAACTTGAAATAAATCCCTCCCTGCTTTGCCTCCTGCAGGATTGCTCGGATGATTCGTCAGGAAAGAGGCAATGCCCTGCTCGTTGGAGTAGGAGGCACAGGAAAGCAGTCTCTCACCAGACTTGCAGCTCATATATGTGGTTACAGATGTATGCAGATTGAACTTAGCCGTGGATATAATTATGACAGTTTCCATGAAGACTTGAGGAAACTGTACAAAATGGCTGGTGTAGAAGACAAGAACATGGTTTTCCTTTTCACTGACACACAGGTATATGTTTAAATAGCCCACAGGTAAAAACAGGAAATGCATGTTACAATTAGTGTGTGCTTTGAACAGTTTGTAGGATGAAATTCAGGGAATTGTTCCCTCTGATAACACTTTTCCTGTACCTCACAAAAGACTTTTATGATACATTTTTACTTTACCAAGTGTTTGTTTCCTTCTTTAAATTATAAATAATTAAATATGATTGAAGGTTGAGAAGGCCAGAAAATTTTTAACTTTCCTTTCAGGAAAAGGGCAAAGTTAGCAGAAGGTAATAAACTCTTTATGTGATACATATAAGAAATATATGCAAGTACCTATAAGAAAATAATTCCCACCAGGCACAAGTAGTTCATGCCTGTAATTCCAGCACTTTGGGAGATTGAAGCAGGAGGATTACTTGAGACCATGAGTT